AGATTCGGACCATTACCTAGTTGCAGTATGCATGCGCTCAAAATTCTCGACGGTTCATAACACCCGTCGAAGTCGAACGCCGCGACCCAACATTGAGCAACTACGGGACGCCGGAGTTGCCCAGGACTACGCGCAGCAGCTGGAAGTTGCACTACCCACGGAAGGGCAGCTTGGCGCAGCTTTTCTTGAAGATGGCTGGAGGGACATCCGTTCCGCCATAGGTAGTACTGCTGCAGCGGCACTAGGCACTGCAATCCCGGACCTAAGAAATGACTGGTTTGACGGCGAATGCAAACTGTTAGTAAAGGAGAAGAATGCAGCACGGGCGAGAATGCTGCAACACCGCACGAGATTGAATGTGGAGCAATACAGACAAACGCGGAACAAACAAAACTCGGTTTTCCGAAGGAAAAAGCGGCGATGGAAAATCTGTACTGCGTAAACGACAGTCGGAAGTTCTACGAGAAGCTTAATAGTTCGCGCAAAGGCTACGTGCCGCAAGCCGATATGTGCAAGGACTTGGACGGTAACCTTCTCACGAACGAGTGTGAGGTGATTGAGAGGTGGAAGCAGTACTGTGACGAGCACCTCAACGGTGAAGCAGCAGAAAACGAAGGTGGCACGGCAACAGACCTTGGAGCACGCGCAGAAGACGACAGGCTATTGGCCCCTGATCTTCAAGAAGTTGAGGAGGAGATCGGTCGGCTGAAGAACAACAAAGCAACTGGTGTAGATCAACTACCAAGTGAGCTATTAAAATACGGTGGTGAAGCACTGGCTAGATCGCTGCACTGGGTAATTGCCAAGATTTAGGAGAGGGAGATATTACCAGAGGAGTGGATGGAAGGTGTCGTATGCCCAATCTACAAAAAGGGCGACAAGTTGGATTGCTGCAACTACCGCGCGATCACACTGGTGAGTGCCGCCTACAAGGTACTCTCCCAAATTCTATGCCGATGCCTGTCACCATTTGCAAGAGAGTTCGTGGGGCAATACCAGGCGGGATTCATAGGTGCCACCATGGACCAAATTTTCGTGATTCGGCATTTGTACATCGATTTCAAATCCGCATACGACACAATCGATCGAGATCAGCTATGGCAGATTATGCACGAATACGGATTTCCGGATAAACTGATGCGATTGGTCAAGGCGACGATGGATCGAGTGATGTGCGTTGTTCGAGTATCGGGGACACTCTCGAGTCCCTTTGAATCTCGAAGGGGATTACGGCAAGCTGATGGACTTAGAAGAAGATCGCGTTAGAAGGTGTGATCAGAAGAGTTGGGATAGACACGAGTGGTACGATCTTCAGGAAGTCCATGCAACTTCTTGGCTTCGCCAATGACATTGACATCATGGCACGGAACTTTTAGACGATGGCGGAAACGTACATCAGACTGAAGGCTGAAGCTAGGCGGATTGGACTTGCCATCAACGCATCAATGACAAAATACATGAAAGGAAGAGGTTCTAGGGAAGATAACGTTAGCCTCCGACCCCGAATTCAGATTGACGGTGAAGAAATCGAGGTGGTCCATGAGTTCGTGTATTTCGGCTCACTGGTGACCGCCGAAAATGATACCAGCACAGAAATTCAAAGACGCATTATGGCAGGGAATCGTGTCTACTTTGGACTCCGGAGGACGCTCCGATCGAATAAAATTCGCCGCCGCACGAAGTTGACTGTCTACAAGACGCTGATTAGACCGGTTGTCCTCTACGGCCACGAGACCTGGACTATGCTCGTGGACGACCAACGCGCCCTTGGTGTTTTCGAACGGAAGTTGTTGCGTACCATCATGCTTGGCATGCACAGTTGTGCACACCAACTGCTCATTTGGTAATAACTTTTCACTCAGATGTTGAAATTTATTTTTCTTTAAAATAATTGATAGATTAGGCTCACAGTTTACTATCGATATGCGAAGATTAAGTAAACTTAACATTTGAATCAACACTAATCAATTTAACACTTAAATTCCGAGATGTGTAGTGAGCATTTCTCACCTCATTTTTACAACGCAAAAACAAATACAGTTTACTACTAGCATTAAAATCTACTTTTTTTACATATCTATAACAAGCCTATACTCTATTCTATCTACTGCTTCAAAAAGAAGTATGTTCCGCCAACTGTGTGCAAATGAGCAATTCGTGACCAAAACTGTGTATGCCAAGCATGCGTACCATCTACGGTGGAGTGCAGATAGATGACGGAACCTGGAGGAGGCGAATGAACCACGAATTGCACCAGCTGCTGGGAGAACCATCCATCGTGCACATTGCAAAAATTGGGCGTCTGCGGTGGGCCAGCACGACCACCCAGTGAAAATGGTTCTAGAAAGCGACCCAACAGGAACAAGAAGAAGAGGCGTGCAGCGGGGAAGGTGGATCGACCAAGTAGAAGGCGCCTGCGGACCCTTCGCAGACTACGAGGCTGGCGAAGTGTGGCCATGGATCGAGTAGAGTGGAGACGACTTCTTTGGACAGCAGAGGACAACAAGGCCTTAGCCTGATTGGTAAGGTAAGGTAAGGTAAGTAAGTAGATAACAAAAAATGTAAAACATTCAAGCGAATAATTGTAGGACAGATTAAGCATTCGGAAAGAATTGTAGAGATATCATTTTATATTAGAATCTGTCAGCAGCGAGATCGATCATTGCCATGTGGAACTCACTATTGACTACCCGGGTGTCCTGCAAACCATAAGAATTGCATTGATCGTGAGATCGTTGTGCTTGTGACGGTTTTGTTCTAACAATTATTAATTAAACGCTTTTGGAGATGTTAATACAAACCTTTAAATAATCTAAGTTTCAAGTCATCATGACTAGCGAACAGTTTCGGAACTAACTGTAGTCCTTCATACCACATCCGTCGAGCCATACTGAATGGCCATTTTGTTCTAAGGACATCACTCATTAAAACTCTATTTGTCTTTTCTTTTCTTTTTTACGGTGTGATTGAGTTGAGGTGCAGCTTACTTTGGTGCGTTTTCCGGGGCTTCGTGATGTTTGGCCCGTCGTTTTGGATTGCGGAAGGTTTTCGTCATTACCCCTTTAATTTTGCATTAGAAGACAATAACTTTTTATAGTCTGGAGTGGTGCATCGATGAGAGCCGGATTTACATTTTTGAGGGATGTAGTGGAGTGAATTGCACCTTAACAATGAAATGATGTATCAGACGAAACAAGTGCTGGATTCGAGTCCGGCAGAACATCGCAGGAGAGGCAAACCGATTTTGTGCTGATTGACGACTCAGAAGCACATGCAAGGGATGTGCATATTGTTTACTTATTTTAAAGTCCTTGGTACTTCTGCAGACCTTTGCCTCCTTCACAGCTTTAATGGTCCCTAAGAACAGTCATGGATAGGTAAGAATTTTCAATCTAAATCTCAATATGTGAAACGTGCTAGCAGAGCATTTTAAACCGCCATTGGTTGTCTCTTCTGACGTGCGAGTAGTGGATCTATTGGTTCAGATTCAGGCCCAGACAACAGAGCCCCCAACAGGCTACAACCTGCAATATTAGAAAAATAATCCCTCGACTAGAACTCCGAATAAATTGAGACATGATTCAAAGCGAATTATTGAAAAAACTCTCAAAGGAAACCGGCGAAGAGTTCCAACCAGACTCGAATTTACGGGAGGGACAGTGATAGTTGAAAAAAGCGTCGCTGAGATGAACGCATACAACCTTGTAATGGCTTGTTCTACAGAGTTATAACATGTTGAGGGTGTTATAATAATTATGGACAAAAAAAAAGTCATCAAGATAGTCTTGTAACATGTTATAACTCCGTAGTCTGAACATAGCATAACATCAAATGCGGCAAGGTGGCAACAAATGTAATGCCCTAAAAACCATTCTTATTTTCCTGCAATGGTAAATTAAAAACTGATTTAGCTGTTTTCGAATTAACGAGCAAAATTTGCGTGAATCATGCTTTACTACAACGTTAAATCGTAAAGTAAAAGATGAGCTATCCAATTAGCACCAGAGAAATTTGGCTTCACTCGAGTTGTTCGCAGATGACAGGCGTTTCAGTCGTGTGGTATTAACTAGCAAAATCAACAGCAAACGCACCGAGAAGGTTTAAACCAGGCGAGCTATTAACTAAATGAAACATTAATTTAGAGAATCAATCATTGCCGGTAGATGTCATTTTAGCAAACGCTTTCAGTCTGTTATTTTCCATCATGATTATGTGAGAATGAGTTGATTATGTGTGGGCGTAACTTTTTTGTCAATCCTAAAATAATTTGCTTTCTCGAAACGACACAAATTCTATGATTACGAATCATTATGTATACCCATCAAAGATTGGATGAAGTTTAATAGCTAGTTTAATAAAAACGAACTGTTGAACTCTCTTATCTCTTTGAAACCATTTGAACTGAAACTCACTCCATTGGAAAATTAATAGCGATAAGTTGTTTCCGTGATCGATCTGCTAATTAACTCTCCAATAGCGGCGTAACAGCTGGCAAGTATCAGTCCGTCTGAATTGGAGCTCACCTTAGAAAGCCTTGAAGAAGCGTTCCAAAAACTTGAAATTCTGACTGGAAAACGGAGTCGAGGACGTAACCCTTTGTCTGTAGCTCAAAAGAAAATCTAAGTTCATTGGGAAAATCCTTCAAGTTCAAAATATGTATAAGAGTTCACCCCTGTCCTTTGAAGGATACTCACAGTCCCCGCGCATGCTCCCTACCGTCCATTCATACACCTTCATCGGCAAGTCGTAAATAAGCACAACAAAAACAGAACACAAACACCTGTTCCATTGGCATTATCCTTCTCACGCCGCCCACTACAAATTATCACCCCCAACCTGGATGGAGGAAGGTTATCGTCTCCTAAGACCAGCTCGTTTTCCATCAGAAAAAAAGAAGAACTCTATCACATTAATATTGCATCAGACACGGTTAGATCGCTTCTATTGTGTCGCTCAGTTAAGTGCTCCCTCTTTATCGTATCGTACTTACCTAACTAGAGCGGAAGAAGAAGACTCATTCGTGTTTCGACCTTATCAATCTGCGGAGTGATATCGATTTTTGTCCTCTGTACTGTTCCTGACTTTTTTTTTGCGACCGAACAAGGAAGATTTCAAGTTCATGCTCATCGATTAGAGCAGTGATACGGACTGAGATACCGACAACGAATCAACCGACCGACCGGGATGTCGTCCGGCTACAAGCACCTGTATTCCTGTGTGACCTTCATTTTGTTCATGGTGGTGGTAAATTTTTACAAGAATAAAATCCATCAAGCTCGGGAACGAGAGGCCTTTGTCCGTACCAAGACCCGAGGCAACATTCCCGTGAAGCATTCGATGCAGCTGATGAAACACCGTCCGGTGGCGATGTTCGAGGATGAAGAAGATGATGATAGTTGGTTCAGTGGTGGTAAGGGTGTTGGAAGGACAAACGATGGACACGAAATGACGTACCGGGAATCCGTACTGGAGCGAATGAAGGAATTTCCAGATGAATGTAAAGATATGGAAGTGTTCTGTTTCACCAAGGAAAGAGTAGATGGAGAGCAGACCGGTGCAAAGGGTTATGAACCACCTGTCGGAGGCCCCCAGCAGAAGACAACTACCAACAACACGCGTCAGCAAGACACCTCACAAAATTCGTCGGTGTACGTGTTCTTATCGGTGCTGATAATTCTGCTGATTGCCGCAGGTGTAGATATCGCCAAGCATATCAGAGCCAATCCGAGACAAGATAACATTCGACGTCTGTCGCTTCAAAACTATCAAGCGCTAATTCGTGAGAAGCAGAAACAATTTCGTATGATGAAACAGCATTACTCACAACCGTCGATGTCGATTAGTCGATCGATTGATGAGTCAAACTTTCCCCTGCCACCGCCCTGCTTGACAGCAAACTTCACCACTCGCACTAAAGAGGACCTCGAAAGCCACGATTCGAAGGCACCACCACTGCTTCAACGACGTCAATCCGTTCCGGCACTGATGAGACCGAGCAGCTCGTTGCTAAGCAAGAACGGCAGCACTTATTCAAGGCAAATGTGTCGGCGTCCTTCGGTGGATTCGTACGGCGGATTCGGAGGTGGCGCCGAACGGGAAGTGGTTGATTTGGCTAGCTTCAACACCAACAAGGCGCCCAACGGATCACCGACCGAAATGCGACGAAGGGTAAGGATGCTGCACAGACATTGAACGTCCCTGAGAGGGAAGGTCAACTTGTTTTCGGTGCACAAAACAAATTCTCATTTAGCGGGATAGTTGGGCGGTTAGCAGTTTGACTGCGGGGTTTGTGATTATCTAGGAAAAGATTTGTGACGCATTCTGCCAAAAGAAACAAAACGAAAAATGTGTAAACGTAAATGTGATCTTTATAAAGAGTACACACACAGAAATTACTTTCAGATGTATTTTAAATGTAAGATAAAATGGAACTATTTATGTGCTGGTTAATGGATCATATCAATGTTGTTTTTAGAACGGATAATTATCACTATTTTTTAAGCAGATCTACTCTTAATGATAAGTAATTATGAAGACATTTCATTCACATTGCGTGGGCGATAATTCCTCAAATAAGTAACTAAATATAAACAATCCGTGATGAATAATGGATTTAGTCAAAAAGTTTTGGATGTGCTATTACACTGTACTGCTGATTGAAGTTATTTATGTCTGCACTAATTTAGTAGAATGAACGGCAGACTGATGCAAATTTTGAAGCTTTTGCTTGATAGGACTCACCAGTAACAGCCCCAATTTGGGTTCTCAACAACCTCCAAAAATTTGAACTTATTTAGTAGAGAACTGACTTGGCACAAACCATATGAAGTTTATATGAAAATTACTATGAAAAATCAAACCATTACCGTATTGTTCTGAGGAAAAGATTGAAAGCTTAATTTAAGAAAATTTTATCAGCTACGACTTTTTTGTTCATTTTTCATTTTTCAATGAACAAGATTGTCGGAATCCTTTCACTTCACGTTTCAAAGGCATCAATCTCTACATCAAGGAGTCGTACAGATCCAGAATTAAATTCAGTGCTTGCTTCTCAGCAAGTAGGGTAAATTATATAAAGAAAGAGAGAATGAATAGTAATTTTCATTTAATTCCACTACCTTGATTGCTTATCTTTGACAGATACGTGTATTTTGTCAACAACGTGCAGACTTCTTGAGTGTCTTGTACTAATAGTTGTCGAGTATTAGTACAAGACATTGTAGACGAAATACACGTATCTATCAATGGTAAGTAGTTCAGGTAGTGGAATTAAATGGAAATTCTAATCCTTTCTCTATGGGGAATCGTTGTGGAAACCTTATTTCTGATTAATCTCACTATCATCTAGATATTTCAAGACCACAAATTTCAGCTCTCACAAAAATGAACTGTGAAACGTTTGCTGCAGTGGCCGCAGGGAGTTCCAATTTCATGAGTGATGTTACAACAATGCCCGAGATTGTGCTCTTGAAAACTCAAAGTGATAGGACATATGAGTCATCATGACTCTTCAAGGAATCATCTTATACAATTATTCCTCTATATACGCCCACATTCATCAGGTTTCAGGAAAAAATGGCTTATTATGAACCCCCTAGTAGCTGTTTTAGCCATTTACACTAAACTCATGACCTTTTAATAATTGTTTCAGCTATGCTTAGGTTGCGTTATGTTTTTCACTTCCTATGCTTAGAATGGTTGAGACGTAAAATAAGTAAATTACCTAATTTTAGCCATGCACATCTGCATTACAAGTTGAAGGCAGCATCAACATTTCATGAACCAGCCGGGGTCCATTATTGGGGTGGATGGATGATGGGATGATGGACCGTCTAGAAGACAATAGAGAATCATCTCAAATTTATGAATTCAGCTTATATACAAGGTAGAATCGATGGATGGCGTCCCTAATAAACAAATACCATATACGAACGATCACCGAATGTAAAAACTATTCAACAAATGATTTATTTCTGTTGGTTATGATTTTACATTGATTTAACACTTCAATTGATTAGACAATCTGGCTCTTCATCTTTGTTTAATTTGTTATTCTAATTTACGTATTCACCAGAGACGATGTGTAATAAGACACGGCCAACTAAGTTATGTTGTCTGCAAGGTTTGGCAACCCGCAATTTCGTGTTAGCTTCGAGTGACTTTTAATTTAAGCTACTGTCGTCTGCTATACTATTTTGATCGAGTACTTTTGTAGTCATTATTTGAAAAATTCCATTGTAATGCACGGCATCCTTCTGTAAAAATACACCGAATAAAATGTGGCAAAATGTAAGTTTCTGGTTTCCCAAAGATAGCGACGCACAGTGGGACTAAATTAAAAAAGAGGGACATGGTCATTTGCGACGAAACTATTGAGTGTAGCAGTTTGATGTCTTCTAGAATGCTTCTTCAATTTTTAAATACTTTATTGCAGTGGTAAAATTATTTAAAAAAAATAGCTTTTTTATGCCTTGTTGAAATTGATGATCATCTATGGAAACATTGTAGATGAACTCATTTTAAGGAACTTTGTCCAAGACGTCAATTATCCATCTCTCAAGTGGACGAAGTTATAGGGTTAAAATGGAGTACAAACGGTAGTACCAACAATCAATACGAAACTAACGATTTTAAATTGGCTCACCACTTTAGTAGCCTATTGGTCCCAAGCAAACGATTAACGTACCCTATTCTACTCGAAATTCTAGTACTACGCAATGTTTGTTTTGATTCGCTATGAAAGTTTGACAGATAAAATGAGGGGTTATTGGTTTTTCCAATGTTTCGAGGGGTGAATCGATTAGCTTGGGACCGAAGAGAGTACCAGAGCTGAGCCAAAAAGTTGAGTACGTTATTTCGGGACCTTCTAGTCTTAGAGTTACCTCTATGGTAGTACCCCCTTAAAAACCGTTTTTTTAGTTCGAATTTTACAATTTTCTCATTGATCTACAAAGTTGTAAGTGCTCTAAACTGCACATTTTTGCTCAAAAAAAAATCGCTATCTCTTTGTTTTAAGGATTTAAGTCCCTTTTAATAATTTTTAAACGCTATCTGTAAGGGGGTGTATTTTGCATGTTAGCAGGTATTAGCAGCTAATCTCAACGTTATTTTATTCAGCATCTTCTAGTCTACCAAATATACAATTCATAGGGGGATCCAAGGAGATGCATAATGAATTTTCTAAAAAAGTACCTCAATGTTTTGTTGAGTTTTAAGGAGGTACTACACGGTAAAAATACATCACGTTCATGTAAAGTGATTTGCTGTTGAATTTGCACTACTTGCCAAACATTGCAATTCGATGTGCAACTCCCTTGGAAGAGATCATATCGAAGCACGATTAAATCAACAGCAAATCACTTCATTTTAGATTGTACTGCACATCGTTGTTGATGTGCTGTGCTTTGAACTCGAAATGTGTTGGATAAAAATAATTTATCCTTGGATTAAATTTTTGCTGAAAATGGGTTTAAATAAATATATAGCCTTGTTCATACTGCAAGCCTTGTTATATGTTATTCAAAATATGACCATATCATATTAATACCCAGATCACATGTTTCCAAGTGATATTGTAAAATATCGCAAGGCTTTTAGTAGTAGTAAAACGAGACATTGAGTAATAAATTTGATAAGTTTGACAATCAAACTTTTCTGAATAAAACACTTTTATTGAAAACAGCAACAATTCCGTATTACTCACGCTCTAGAACGCAAATTATTTAGGACGGAGAGGGAGAATTATCGCTTCTCTCACTTGACTTCATTTATTGTTGACTTGCCATCTTCACGAGTAATGTTTGTCATTTGCGTTTTTGACATTTGCTTCCAAAAGCAAAACTAATCAAATTCAATTGATGAAAACACTGGTGCCGATTCAAATGATAATCATTTTGATTTATAGGTTTTATACGGTACATATTTTTCAACGACAAATCACTTTGTTTCAAAACGCAAATAACTTGAAAATCAATGATAAATCACTTCGATTCATAGTACCGCATAACAGACTGAGTCAAGTGCAAGATCATTTGGATTAGATGTGATAACTTTTTACCGTGTACCGTTAGTACTCCATTTCAGCCCATAACTTCGTCCACTTGAGAGATAGAAAATGGACGTCTTTGACAAAGTTTCTTGAAATGGCTTCATCTACACATAAAAAAGTTTTTTTTTATCTCGGTGTATACCCCCCTTAATCAAAAATTTTCAGTTCTCAATTAAAGTACTCAAAAAATAAAGAAGCATTCTTGAAGACATCAAAATGCTACACTCAATAGTTTCGTCGCAAATAGCCATGTCTCACTATTTTTGATTTCGTCCCACTGTGCGACGTCAGAAAAAAGTGGTTTCAATTCTGTCGGTTTCATTCATATCAAAGCGTAACGGAATACTCTCGATTATGTAGCGTAAGCAATCTACCATATTGATAACTGAATTTTCGTGTAGAAGAAAGTCGATGTTAAGCTGATTTATTATATTTCACATTTCAATTACGGTTGAAATTTATACGTGACACTGGATAGCGGAAAATTAATAGCGGGTACAATTTCTGTTTTTGTAATTATTGAAGATTTGGACGAGGGAACAGATAACGAAATCTATGATGATGTAATCGATTATAATAGACCTGACTTGGTAGATGATTTATACTTTTCAAACGCAAACTTATTTATAATTAAATTTCAACCTCAATCTCAATACTACCTACACTTTTCCTCGTGTATTGCATTGCTCGATTGGAACATCGTGCGTCTCTTATCTAACATTGGAGATGAACAAGCCAATGGCTAAAAATCTCCCTAACAAAGATTTAAAAAAAAAAAATCTTATCTAACATCGTCTCTGGTATTCACGTGTTTCAACTAATATACAGAATATCTCTTTGGGTGCGTTTTGATTGAATTGAAACAAAAATTTGGTAACCTACCTAACTACGAATAATTTAACCTAATACAAGATCGCGTATGATCTTTCGAGAATGAGCGTACTTCGCTCCTCGAGTGTCTGGCGGTGGGACTGTTGAGGATCATCCTAAGGAGATTGTTTTGGATCCTTTGTAGTCTGAGGTGATGGCACTTAGCACAGCTTTCCCAGATTGGCGTTCCGTACTCAATGGTGGGGGGGATGATTTGGTTGTGGACGGGTGGACTTTCTGTTGATAAGTGGATAAAGCAACCTAATCAATATGTTGCATTTGGATGTTTTGTCCCCATGGAAACGGAATAGCAACCAAGGTAGACGACTTCACTCCACCATTCAATGGGAGTATTATCAAGGTGGAATTTTATGTTACCAGGCGAGGTGAATTGAAGTGCGGAAATAGTATGGTCTGTGTTTTAGCTGCATTGATACAAATCTTCCAGCTTTTGAATTAGTTGGACAAAACATCCAGACTTGATTGGAGTTTTCTCGTCAGAGCACGGATTACTCGACCCTTCTTCTTCTTATTCGCATTTCAAGCTTATTGCTTATTACGTGCCCTCAACTTAGTGTTCTAGGTGCACTTCCACAGTTATTAATTCCACTGACATGGAGTCCACTAACTGGCTAAAGTCCACTGGCATGGAGAGAAGAGTTGGCGATGAAACGTCGTCAAAATAGATAAGCGGATTAAGAGTGGATTCCAAGCCGGAGATAACTCTGTAGCTTTGAGACGTTCTGTTGCAGAGCTTCTCGGGTCGGTTTATCCGGGGCACGTTCATCGTTTTACGGACGGATCGCGGTCGCGGGCTGGAGTTTGACTCGGAGTGGCAGGACCGAACACTGCAACGAGTCAAAGTCTACCGGAGGAGGGTTCCGTCTTTTCCGCTGAAGCCGCAGCTATTCTAGACGCAGCTATCATTCCGGCAGATCAACCGATCCTCGTATTAACTGACTCACACAGCGTCATCCAAGCGCTGGAAGCCGAAGCCCCCAGCCACCCCTGGATACGCCCCACCTTCAACCGTCTTTACGTGGATCCCCGGACACTGCGGTGTTCCCGGAAACGAGGCTGCGAAAAGACTGGCGGGATCTGGCGCATCCCGTCCTCGCTACACCAGGAACGTACCCCTCCTCGATGTCAGGCGTTAGATTGTGAATACCATTATGGAAGCCTGGCAGCAGGAATGGTTCCAGTCGCGGACAACTTTCCTGAGGAAGATCAAGGGAACCGTACGCTCCTGGCCGGACAGCCAAACGTACAAGGACCAGCGGATCATCTCAAGACTCCGGACAGGCCATGCAAGGATTTCCTGTAATTTCGGTGGGACACCTTTCCGCAAGGTCTGTTCAATCTGCAGCATCCGTGCTGTGTGTCTGCCCGGAGTTCCAGAAGCTACGCGAACAACATGGACTCCCGGAGAACGTCAGTAATCTGCTTGGTTACGACCCCTCGACGTTGGCTGCGCTGATCGCCTTTCTGAAAGAAGCCCACTTGTATGACCAAATCTAGCCCCCCGTCGGTGGCTGCACTGATCGTGTGTTCCTCACGTTTCTATTTTTTTCTGCCGTCGGGGTTTCTCCGCCGGACCGGGCACTGTCTCCTACGGTGGAGCTCTACCTTGTTCGCGCACCCAGTCCTCACCACAGCCCCGATCTAATCCTCACCTTACATTAAGTTTTTAAAATGTTGTCTGTCTCATTCGTTGGGTAATCAGAGCCGGTTATACGTCACGTTCATGTCAAATTTAAACCTATTTTTTAGGCAGGATCTAGCCTGATCATCTGCTGTATAACGTGATGAACTAGCCTACGGCCAAAAATCACGGTGATAAATAAAAAAAAAGTTATTAATTGAGAGCTTTCGATGCCTGTATCATTTTTGCATTAGTATAATTGTATGGCAAGTACAATCATACTCTATGCCCAGAGAAGTCGTGAAATTTTCCAACCCGAAAAATTCCTGACGTGTAGATGTTGAAGATAATAGGACCATGGAGGCTACCCTGGGAAACCCCCAGCATCAACCGTTGAACGTATCAGAAGGTGAATTTCTCTAAAAGACCTGGAATGATCTACCCGACAAGTAATTTTTGATGATCTTAACAAGGAAAATCGGGATGTATCGCTACCAGCGTTTCTCAATCTATGGGTCGTGACCCACCGGTAGGTCGCAAGCTGCCTTAGCTGGTTCGCGGAAATTCAGACAACTTGGTTAGAAGCAATTGAAATTTTCATATACTATTTTGAATCTCTAAACGGAATCTTACTCAATTATATATTTTGGCGTACTAAAATCAGTCACGGATTTCTGTGCCTTTTTAGCGTATTTTTTAAGGTCAGTTCTATAATTTAATTTTAAGTCTCTTTTGACAATTCAAAGTCATTTTGTAAAGTCTAAATTTTACTTCGTTAAGTAATTTTTAGCGTTTTTAGAACGATTATAATGTTTCAAGATTATTATGAGAGTTGTCGTTTGCATGTGATGATCATTATAAAAATTGTCAATCCGTTTTATACATTTTAGGGCTATTCTAGACAATTTTAGCGTTTTAAAGCCATTTTGGTAGTTCAAGGCTAATTTAACGATTGTAAGGCTATTTTTGGCGATTTTAAGTTTGACATTACATTTTTTTTAATCTTGGCAAAATACATAAATTTTGGCGTTTCGATGTCATTTTATTTTTCTGCTTCAGTCAATCTATAGAAGCCATTTTGGAGTTAGAACATCTGTCATTTTGCCCTTAGAACATTTGTATTAGAATTCCTCATAGTGGGTCGCAATCAACAAAGGATTCAGAACCACTGCACTAGGCCATCATGCCAGACATTGTCGAACGCCTTTTCAACGTCCAACAATGCCATGACAGATGTCTTGGAAACGGACTTGTTCCGCTTGATGATGTTAGCAAACCGTGCGAGTTGGTGGATTGTGAAGTGGCCTTTCCTAAACCCGAATTGCTCTTTGAGAAAGATGTAATTATGTAAAACACAAGCAGACGGCTGAGTATTAACTTTTCTAACAGCTTCGAGATGGATGACAAGAGACTGATGGGGCGATAGCTTTTGGCACTGGAATGGCTTTGGGTAACTTCCAGAAAACACTTCTTGAAGACCGCTGCAATGTGCTCGAAGAAGTCAACACTCAAGTTTTTCAACTCGAGGTTGACCACTCCATCCAGTTGAATTACTGTGTGGTGCAAGACGTGAATACGTCCGTTGTCCGGATACAAATAGGGCTTCGGCTTGTTTCGTTTAATATCAACGATATGATATCTGTGTTAGGTAAGACACCTCGTGATCTAAGCAAGTGTATGGGAAATTTTGAAGTTCAAATTTTCGTTGAATTTCTTAATTGTTTAACTATGTTCACTATTTGTACTAGGGGAAAAGTTGGCTTCGGCAATACCTTAACCTATTATCGTCAGGGGGTAAAAAACGTCATTGAGAGCTCAATTTTGGCATGTGGATACATTGTGTTTCAGAGCAACTATTGGCCAAATTTGAGTGCTCTAGGACTTTGTTTACCCCCTGAAGATAATAGGTTAAGGTATTGCCGAAGCCGACATTTCCCCTATATACCAAAAAATTGCTTGATCTATTTCCTGTTGAATGACATCTTGCTTGAAATATTTCGTATTCAGGGTTTTTAGAAAATTGTGTTTGAAAACTCTACCATTTCGCTACATTTCCCTGGATTGGCACCAAGGTTGGTATACTTTAATTTATTTTAAAGCTTTACATAAAATTAAAAAAAAACATGTTTTGTTTATTTTTCTCTAAAACTTTGTTTCAGACATCATTTCGATCAGAAAGACCGTTTCCGTGCTAAAATTTGTTGGAAAATTTAGGGGACACTATTTTGAAAATTTTATGAGAAGGGGGCAATCCCGGCGTAGTGGTTAACATCCATACCTCTCACGCCAAAGTCATGAGTTGAAATCTCACCCCCGGACAAGTCACGAATGACACAAGAGTGTTAAAGTGACTATAATAAAAAAAAATATATGAGATCCAAAATGGTACAATTATAGCATGAATCATTGCCCATAACAAACAATTACGCAAACTGCCATACAAATCGAAGGTCAATTCTAAAATTAAATTTTCGCTAGTTCGCCTCTAATAGAAGTATTAAAAACCTGAATTTATCCACCTATGGTGAGATCTGCCCCTTCTTACTTATTTAAATTCCGACAAAACTGCTCAAGAAAAAAAAAGATAAGTAAGCTAATTTCTGGATAATATGTGGGTCTGTGTCTAAATTGTCATACGATATGACTTTCTGCGTGCCAATGCCACTTTCGGCGTTCAAATGGCCACAAATGATCATACACTTGAACTTTGATGTGATTTAATGAGACTTTAGTTTACGCCAACCGTGGGTACTCAATATTCTTGTTATTGAACTTTCAAGCGGTTGCAAGATAAATTCGGGTCACTTCCAGGTCGGGTATAGTGACTGTTGTGGTTTCTGGTATCTCTGTTTTTCGTCCTGTTGTTGTTTTGCATCATCCTGTTTTAGCTCTTCGTCTTATTGTTACATCAATAATTCATCCGATACCCCTCCATCATCTTGCACAAGATACACTTATTCTTGATGCCTTCATAAATATTCCCCTTTCGATTGAGAAAATGAAGTGTGGTTGGGATTTCCATTTTCACTGTGGTGTGCATGTCGAGCAGTGTTCGGAACATCATTGTTAAATATTATTCATTGAGCTCTCCTGAGCAGCGAATCCAAACACATAAAGCAACCAACGATACAGACAAAACGGTTGCTACGACTACCATGACAAACTCGCTCTGTAACAAAGCTCGATCCGAGTGGTAAAAGGATAATGATATATTGCTTGCCTGCTTTGTTGCAATATACACGGATGAGGACATAGCTTGATATGAATCGGGAAAAGACATAACAAAAAAAATCCCATTAACACACGTGTATCATCTTCGGCTTTACTTCGTGAAGCAGCTTGCCAACAATTTGCTCGTTTCCTTCTACCGCCTCGAATGAGTTGGGTCGCACGAGCTGCTTGTCATGAAAAAGAACGGTGATGATTATATCATTATTGTTTTCCACTTCTGACATAGCGTTATTATTCGGTTCGTTGATCGCTTGTTATTTTGTCATTTGGAGAGATTTTTGATTCCTTGCTCCTGAGAGAATAAGCTCGCATGCAAATATGGCAAACAAATGTCCAATTGAGATTATCATTCATTTTCACGCACTCACACTCACAACATTAAATATTCATTCCAAAAACAAATAAAAACCGCTTGGATGTAAAATGCTTATGCAAGATGTGTTACTTTTCCATCCACTGATACAGAAACAAGTTAAGTTAAGTATTCTTTATTAGCCTGGGGCTGGTTCGCCTCCAAATATAAAAACAACAGTAATAGCAATTAATAACGTCAAAATATATTGCAATAAATTGTCGAACCTGAAAACTCATCGGTGATTTGTGCAGTTGAATTTTGCAAGGCAAAACTCGTAGTCGAATAATCTCAAGCGTGAGATTTGAATTTTTGAGATTTTCCAAACACTGATGTCGAGACCCAGATGGAATTTCTCACGGACGACACACCTCGCGATACGCTTAACTTTTTCGTACTTTCCCAGCACCAACGCAAGATCTTGATCCGCGGATTCAGGTGCCAAATCGTATGGTCGCACGTATTAAATGTTGCTTCGCGCAGGCGACATACGAACCTTCACCCCTCCACTGCCTTCCTATCCGCATAACGGAAAATTAATTCATCACTATTGTTCAGTAAAGCATCAAGCATAGCATTGTTCCAATTGGACTTAATGAAAACCGCATTCCCCTTCGGAATCCGGTATGTTGCTTCCATCTCAGCAGCATTCGCATCCGCAGTGTCTTGGCAAAATTAGCAATCTAGATCCATGTAGGCCTCGCACATCCATTTCCAAAGCCGAAACAAAGAGGGTTCTTTATTTCTAGATGTAAGGAGAAAATCGATGAAGAGAATCGATCATCCTCGCACTTACGTATGCATTTATGATTCTGAACGCAAGACATAATATATTTAAAAATACAATTTAAATAATTTTTTGTAGAAATTTCACATTTTCTTTTTTCATTTCGGTAACACTCAGATATAAACCAGAAAGTATTAATTATTATAAAATTTAATAGGCAGCTTCAACGTGTTATATTTTTTTTACCGCGAAGGGGTATTTTTTAATATAGCCGAAAGTTGTCGAGCTTATTTTTTTAGCATAACTTTATGAAATGTTTTTTCACCAATGTATCCCAAATTTTTCTGGAAACGGTGGATAAATGGTGTATCTTTCCATACATTTTCAAAAAAATTGTTGAAATAATCGACTGTTTATGTCACAGCTTATTAAATTTACTCCGTCAAAAGGTGAGCTTGGGCATCAGAGGGTTAAGTAGATTTCGCCTGATCAATCCGAAAAGAGAACCTACTTACAAAATGCTATTACAGGGTAATGTTTAAGAGAAACTAGTTCTTGTACCTAATAAAAAGTACTAACAAAGTACTGACGAAATAAAATGCATCCTTTGGTTATGACTTATGATACGATTCTAACTACAAATAAATGATAATCAATGAAACACCCGTTTTGCGTGTACAATCATCATGTATGTGTGACGTGTGACAACTATTAATTGAATTAGATCATGTATTTATTGAACAAACCTTTCTACACAGATTTTGACATGCTGTTTATTAAAAAAATATAATAGTTGTAGATGTGTAAACCCAAAGTGGGTGACAAAATGGAATACATATTTAAAAAAAAATCACTAATATATTATGATTGATGAATAATAAAAGACGAAACAAATCTCAGTTTATCTTAAACCAAACACGGATAGCATCATTTTCCATTGCAAAGGGAAATACTGATATCACCATCCTTCTTCTTTTAAAATCAGAGATCTACCCTTCTAGTCCGGTACCTTCCACTGCAGCTTCTTGCCCGTTTCGTACAAATTGGACAGCGCCATTGTGAATTCATCCTTCGAGTGCAGTTTTAGATAGTGCTTGTACAGTAGCAGTGCAGTTCGAGCATCTTCCACCGAATCGTGCGTTTCGGATTGAATCTTTATGCCGAGAAATTGCCACGCCAGGAAGCGAAGCGATACCATCCGGTGGTGGGGCAGATGAAAAAGGTATACGGTATCGACGATCTGCTCCGGTGGAACGATAATGTTGATCACACGGAAGTCGTTCTTGAGCCCGTGGCCGACAAAGATCACTCCACTGTCCACCAGGTAGCGCAGCTTCTGGTAAGAGTTTTTCAGTGTGGTGAGACGTTTGTTGCTGAAGTTGGCATCCAAATCTCCTGGTTTGATTCCGGAGAATTTCGTCAGGTAATCGACGACTTGCTCTTGAGTGGAGATGTAATCATCGACGAAGGGTACCGCTTCGTCCGCTCCTTGCCCGCGGATACAAGTGATTCGAGCGACACTCATGTGACTTGGTTTCACGGTAGAAAGTTTGCCATCGGATCGGATTTCGCTTTCCTCCGGGTTGAGGGTTACAAATTCAGCGTCCATTGCCACCAGATCACCCGATTGGAAGATTTCTTCCTGCCCCAGTGGTTTGAAGTTCTTGTCTTCTACTACGGGTCTTGCTTCCATGAACAGATCGTTTGTGAAAGGATTCACGTACTGTGTGAGGCATTCTTTGTTGTCGCCTACCTCTTCCCGAAGGGTAGTGCTGGTGTAGAACAGGACACAGGGAACCTTCCAGTCCAGGGTAAACCAAACCGCTTCCTGGACCGAGACGGGTGAGATGCTAAAATCGTTGAAGATGTACCAGCTGCCATCGGTGAAGTCGATTCCCGAGGATGCACCGGGGGCCTCACCCGTGCGGTGCTGCTTTAGATCGTGATAGCTCTTCGGGACGTGAATCAAAGCCACCAGATTGCGCTGGGCACCATCGTTGATGTAGCACACGGCTGCAGAGAGACTGTATCGTTTCGATTTGCGGAAAGGTTTGTCTGGATAGATGGACGGTGGGTTCGTTAGATGGTTTAATTGAGACAATGCACAGTGGTCCAGAATGCAGATTTAGGTAGAATGATATGTTTTGAGCCTGAAATTGAATCTTTAGACTAAAAGTCTCTTCTACAAAGTTGTTCCTTATAGTTAGGCCCTCATTTTTATGACAATGAATTCTAGGGTGGTTCCTATTATCATTAAAATCAAAAATCTAACTTTTTTGTTTGAATAAATTAAGGTATACATTCTTCGACAAAGTTATAGTTAAGCTAATTTCAAGCAACTTTGTTGAAAATAACTTTTTTGTATTTCTTAAATTGGCCGATTTAGAGCTATTTTCTTGAATTGAGTTAGGGTGGCTCTTAAAAAAACAGTTTTTTTGCTCTAGTTTTCTTATTTCGAATTTCTCAGCAAAAGCGTCTTCAGATAACATTTAGATCTTAAGAAGGCGCAAGTTTTTGCTGCACAAAGCTTGTCAATATCTTTCGCCGATCAAGAGTTATTGAAGTTTTTATACTAAAACTATGCAGTTTTCAAATGTTAATATCTCTGGTTGGGGCAAACAAAAAAAAGTTTTTTTGCAGCATTTGAAAGGGCGTATATTATTCTCAATAATATGAAAAAATTGGAGGTATGTTATTTTTTAAACTCGTATAAAATCAATTTGAATTTATTCATATTTTTTACTATATTTGAGTATATCTTTTTTATTAGAAGAGATAGAGGCAACAAATTCAGCTATAAAACATTCGTCTTAAAGAGTTTTAAAAGTCTCTAGAAGATGACTTTCATGATAAATTTCAAATAAAAAAGTTATTGGCAAAAGATGGATTTCATAGGACCACTCTAATGACAAATTTATATAAAATATGCTAGTACATTTGTTTCAATATTTGGACATTTAGTGTCTTCAAAGAAGTTTTTGTTCTTAAAAATTCCCTTCTTTTGGTGTTTGCAAACGTAAGGGTGGTCCTCAAATTAGGGAATTTTTAAAACTAACTTTTTTGTTTTACAAAATATAAACATGTGTTGTTCAAAAAAGTTGTAGTTAAGTTACTTGCAAGCAACTTTGTCGAAGAAATTTTTTTTCTATCTCTCAACGTTCTCATTTTAGAGTAATTTTTCGGAGTTGACTTAGGGTGTTCCTGGAAAAAATAGTTTTGTAGCAATAACATTTTTATTTGAAAATTCTCATGAAAGTTATCTTCTAGAGACTTTTAAAACTCTTTAAGACGAATGTTTTATAGCTGAATTTGTTGCCTGTATCTCTTCTAATAAAAAAGATATACTCAAATATAGTAAAAAATATGAATAAATTCAAATTGATTTTATACGAGTTAAAAAAATAACATACCTCCAATTTTTTCATATTATTGAGAATAACATACGCCCTTTCAAATGCTGCAAAAAAACTTTTTTTTTGTTTGCCCCAACCAGAGCTATTAACATTTGAAAAGTGCATATTTTTAGTAAACAAACGTCAATAACTCTTGATCGGCGAAAGATATTGACAAGCTTTGTGCAGCAAAAATTTGCGCCTTCTTAAGATCTAAAAGTTATCTGAAGACGCTTTTGCAGAAAAATTCGAAATAAGAAAAATAGAGCAAAAAAACTGTTTTTTTTAAGAGCCACCCTAACTTAATTCAAGAAAATAGCTCTAAATCAGCCAATTTAAGAGATACAAAAAAGTTATTTTCAACAAAGTTGCTTGAAATTAGCTCAGCTATAACTTTGCCGAAGAATGTATACCTTAATTTATTCAAACAAAAAAGTTAGATTTTTGATTTTAATGATAATAGGAACCACCCTAGAATTCATTGTAATAAAAATGAGGGCCTAACTATAAGGAACAACTTTGTAGAAGAGACTTTTAGTCTAAAGTTTCAATTTCAGGCTCAAAACATATCATTCCACCTAAATCTGCATTCTGTACCACTGTGCAATGCACAATGGTCGCAAGCCGTATTTAGGAAGAGAAAAATGTTTGCACCTAAACCGTTTGTTTTAGTTATATGGTGTCATCGGGAAAGGTTTTATATATTTTTTACACATTTTTTTTAGGTCAGTAATAGGGTGGTCCCTATAGTTAGGGAGTTCAAAATATCTCACTTTCCGGCTGGTGCTTCCAAAAGTTTGGTATTTTGTAATTGTAAAATTGAACATATTTTTAGTTCTGTGGCGAACGTTTCAGCTCAATTGATCTTAAGAGAACAAAGTTACAACATGTCAAAGTCGTCAATTGTGTATGAAAACCGGCATGCGCTGCTATTATATTGAACAGCACTCTACGTCCATGTATGTCATGGTGGTTACTAATGGTTACTCCAATAGTAACCAGCTCCAAAAACCTTATTTTTTTTTACTTGGCCCAGAAATATCAACCTACGATGTACCAAGAACTTTAGGGAATATTCAAAGTATTCAGAAAAGTTTCAAAACTAAGGACTTGAAGAATAGTTGGAAATGCTTAACGTCAATAGCAGACTTAAAGTGTCCATTGTATACGATAAATGTGCAGATGTAAATATTGGATTGATAATTCCGCGTTAAGCATCTCGAACTATGTAAATCGTTAACTTCACGCATGAAGTAATAAAAACATGATTAGTAAAGGACTACAGGAAGTCCAGAACTTTGGAGAAAGGTAAAGATCTTTGAGGGTAAGTTCTGAGTACGTAAGGGCAGTTGCATAAACTTCAAGAATATTTCGTGATCTTGATGAAGATTGCAAAACTTCATGACTGTTCCAATAACTTCAAGAACATTTCAGAAACTTTACAGGATCTTCAAGTAAACTTCTGGCAAGTTTAAAGATCTTTGAAAAAGGTCAGATAAATTTTAGAAAATTCTGATAACTACAGGACAGTTCCATGAACATCCGAAAAATTGTATAAACTTAAGGGAAATTCCTAAAACTTTGAAACTTTTGAGATTTCAAGAAGCAACCCAATAAATTCACGAAAATTGCAGGAATTTTACAGAGGTTTCCAAAACTTCAATTAAGTTTAAAGATTTTAAGGGAAGAAACGTGAACTTTGGGCAGTTCTACAAACTTCAAAGTTGTCCATGAATATCAGGAAAATTGCTGGAATTTCAGGAAAGTTCTGAGAGCTTGGGATAAATTTCGAGAGTTATAAGGTAGGAAAATAGCGGGAAATATCAAGAAATTTAAAAAAATAAAAATTTCAGAGATCATCAGAGAAGTTAAAAAAAAACTTGAGAAAAAATCCGGTAACTTCACAGAAGTTGACGAAGTCTACAGAACTTGACAAAAACTGTGAATACTTCAAAGAAAGTTCAAGAACCTCAGTCCCGATTACGTCAGTCCTTTTGAACGCTATTTCGGGGAAGTTTAAAGATCTGTAAGGGTTAGTTTCGATTAGTTCTGGACAGCTCCATGAACTCCAGGAACATTTCGAGAAACTTTGAGAGTTCTGGGAATCTCAGGAAAGGCCATGCAACTCAACTTCATACATATTTTGGAAACTTTACAGATGTCCAGAAACTTTCAGGAACAATCTTCGGGGAAAATCTTCAGGTGAAGAACTATGAGAATTGCGCGAAGCTCCGGGTAGCTTCAAGAACATCAGAGATGGTCAATGAATCTCAGTTTAGTTCACTTTACTTAACTAGAAACTCAGGAAATTTCCGAAAACTGCAGTTCTGAGATCCTCAGGGAATTCTAGAGAAATTCAGACAAGTTTTGAGATTTATAAGCAATTTAATAATTTTCAGGGATGTTCCGATTACTTGAAAAGATGATCGAAGAACTTCAGAGCAGTACCATTAATTATTTGCAGGTAGTTCCAAAAATATATGCTAAATCAGTTAGTAACCAGCTCTATATTTACCGCGACAGCACTGGATACGTCCTTTTGAACAAGTAACCGTGAACTGTTTGAATACATGATAGAACAAAATACGATAAACAAATCACATTGAAGTATTTATTCTTAAGAGCAACTGCTTTGTGAACAAATGCTTTTGATTTGAAAAAAAAAAATATTCTTATATTTTTCGCTAATGAATAGGAAAATATTTCAAATATTCGAAAAAATTTAACTACGTGAACTTTGTCAAATTTTGAACTCCCTAACCATAGAGACCACCCCAATGTCACTGACCAAATATATAAAAACTTTTCCTAAGACACCATACAAACGTATTAAGCGCAAAAATGTGTATCTTCCTAAATACGCCTTTGGGACCATTGTGAAATGGTTACATGTTACCTTCTTTGATTTCCTTGCCATCAGTGCTTTCGCTGCAACTGGAAGCACTCTTCATTGAACCGATTTCGAGATTCTCCTTCTCATCGAGACTCATCTGCAAGCTCAGCGGGAACCAGGACTTCTGCTGTGCTGGCGTGGGAGCGCTCGAGATAATAACCGCTGGGGAGGATTTCCTAGAAATGTGAGGTCAAGCTTGTGTTCGGAGAAAAAATATACTTCACCTACCTGGGATGCGAAAAGTGGCAATCCACACGGGAACAGTTCATTCCATAGCGGCACATCTTTCCATTGCCCACGTTTCCATTACGAGGTTCACTTTCCGACGTGGATGATCCACCGACTTGGGCCGATGGACGACTTATCTGCCTTTTCAGATATTCCAGCTCCTTATCCGTCTCCAGGCCACAGTTGATGGAAAGAATCTCCGGCAAATCGGTGACGCGACTCTTCTGATTGGTGGGTGTGAACTTGTTACACTTCTCGCACCAAGCAGGAGTGGTCTTTTCCACGGTCAGCGAGTTCTTCAAGATCGAAGCGAATGTGCCATCCACGTTACGGTTGGTCGTGTTGACGGGATAGAGTAGGTTGCAAACGAGAAGGATGTTGTTCTTGACCCGTTCGGTGTTGCACTTCAAGCAACGCTGGGTTGTCTTCTGTTGGGTTCCGAAGAGGCGGCTGATTTCGGTTTCGTCTTTGTTGTAGCTTCTGCTAGCCGATGGTGGTGTTTGCTCCGCCGGATCCGGATAGGGTTCGCACTCCGGAATCAGCGTCACGTCGTAGTCTGAAAGGTCAATGTAATGTTATCCAACATATATGGTCCTATTAAGGTGCAATTTACTTTGGTGCGTTTCCTAGATGCATCATTTTAGATTGCAAAAAACTTTCGTCATCGTATGTAAAATAGCAAGGCGGTTTTAATTTTTGGGAAAAGCATCAAACGAAACCAAATCAATGACTATAATATTCCGGATTGAAAAAGCCAGCTCATCCAAACTAAAGGACGCTTCAATCACACTCCAAACCAGGCCTGCAGAATTTTGTTTATTTCTCATAGATCCTGGACTAAAATGCATAATGATGAATAAAATTGGTTTCGAATGATATCATTGCTGATATCCAGGACCACGTCCAGCAGTCGTCCTAAATGAACTATATCCACCTCTTCAAGGTGGTTTGTTTAAAAGGACGTTAATAGATGGAAGCACGTCCAGCAGCGCTGCTCTGAACCAAACGTGTCTTGAATAATTTCATCGGCATTTTTTTCTTGAAAGCTCTAATGCAAAGCCCAATCCTATCCTGAGGAAACTTCTCAGCACCCCTACTTAAAACTGTCTCAAAAATACAATCCACTCACCGCTACTCGCCTCCAGGAACAGGAACTTTTCATTGTTCGAATCGTACTGCTGCACCTCACTGTCCAAGCTTTCCTGATAGTCCTCCGGTTGTTGCACATGCATCTCAGCTCCGGGAATGAACGGTCTCTGCGTAGCCGACAGTTGCATTCTTCTTCCCACGCCGACCGGTTCGCTGGCGGCCATCATATCTTCATTCTTCTTGATTGCCTCCAACAGCTCGTAGTGTATCTGGTGCAGAATGAATCGATTCCAGTTCTGAATCAAGCTTATCAAATTGATGCTGGCATTGTTGTTCCGATCGGAAGACAGAATCAACCCGAGAGCAGCCGCTTCCGGAACCGTGCGGAACGAACGTAGAAAATTGCTCGCCTGGCACGGTTGATTCGAAGTTCCGACGTCCAGCATGTGAAACAGGAAGCCCAACTCACACGCCAAGCAAAATTCTTTCGAACAGCAATGCGACAAGATTGCCTTTCGCAACGGAACAACAAAGTACAGGGCCTGAAGCATAGCATTGCAATAGGCATTCGGAAGGTTTGCTTCCAACCCGACGAAACCCGTCTGGTTGTACTGTTCAAAATCGAAATCCTGACAGCCCAATTTGCTGTACTTGACTTCCACTTTCCGATAGCGACGGGGTACAAGCTTCATTCCCTGGTCCCCACTTCCTTTCTGCGAACTACTAACCGGTGCGGAACTCTGATTGGATGCAGAATTTTTGTCCATAGCGTAGGGAATTTGATTCCGAAGGGAAGCCTTCGGATTGGGAGCGTATCCAATCGGTCCCTGCATCTTCATGGTGGATGTAATCTCTGGACTTATCGGCTTCGGTTTGAGGTATTCATAGGTGTTCATAAACGCTGGCCAGTCACTGAGCCAGCGATTGCCGGTCGTTAGATGTGGCAGTAGAATCGACGACAGAGGGAAGTTCTTATCAGTGATTGAAACCATTGGCAGCGGTTCTACTGTATCGGCAAATTCTGTATCCCTAGAGTACGGATTGAACTGCAGAGTTGGAGTATTGATTTTAACAGCAGCAATAAGATTGATATGACCAGACTGATCACCGAACGCCATCGCTTGATTGGAAGCACTAATGTCGAAAGTGAGACACTGTGATCCGGTAGTGTTAATCTGAAACATCTGCACCCGTGGTTCGCTCAGTTCCACAGTATCCACAAGCTGAAGCTGTCCCAGTGGAGAAACGACTGCTAGGCGCGAACAAGGTGACGGCAGGAATTTCAACAGCTGAGGTTCAACCAGCACCTGAATCGGCGACACTAGTCTCAACATTCGCATATCGTGAACCATCAAGAACCGATCAATTGCCAGATTTCCCTGTCTTCCACTGTAGCCACAGGAAATCAAATAGTTCCCCTGTAGATCAAAGTCTGACAAACTTCCAGTATGCGTAGTCAACTCATGCTCAATCGACAGGCTATTTGGGTCACGTAGTGTAATCTTTCCAAGTGGATCTCCCTCGCATAGGTACCGAGAATGGTTCCTCAATATCGCGCATCCATTCTGTCCACCCGGAACGCATCCCACCTCCTGATACGTAGCTACATCAAAATCAATCAACTCGCTCTGATGACCTCCCATCAACAGTCGATTTGGTTGATGCTCAATCATACACAGCATAGCGACCATCTTCTCCGATCGGTATGTAAATTTCGGAATACCTCTCCGTATCTGATGCCGTAGCGTTGTACTCGTCAAGGCCAATATTCCCGCGTCGATGGTGTGGATCTGCCGAACAATCTCATTGGCGTGTACCTGAAACGACGTATACTTCTGCATCGTCCCACCGTAGTACGACGTTACATGTCCACCCTGGTTTCCCATCCAAATCAACTCCTCTTGTCTGTCGAACGAAATTGTCGACACGCCGAAGCGATCTCCACCATCTGCCAGCACCATTCCATGTTCCATGAACTCCGGCTCCCCGAAACCGATGTTGAACGCCCCAAAGTCTCCTTCCGGATATTCACCCGCTGGCGGACCGTTGTCATACACTGGAATTTCGTAAATAAACTAAATTTTTCACCAGCATAAATCACACGAAAACAAACTTACTCGTCAGGGTGATGATGTCCTCGGCTCGATTAACCGGATCGCCGCTCATATAAACGTAATCCATTTTTCAATTTTCCCAACGATGAGCATTACAGTTTCAGCAAAAACTTGAAACCCGCAAAATCGTTCAGGAGATTCACAACAAACAGACAACTTTCTACCACTTTTTTTTCGAACGATTTATGTTAATGTTTTGACAGCTCTCGACGGACGACGACTTTCGCTTGCGTAGGTATAGCGTTTTTCGTCGAGCCGAACGTGGAACGAAGTGGCGTCGCAAGGAAAACAAAACAACGATCAGCTGTTGCACGAATCAATGTTGCCCGACGGGCCCCGACTTCGGTAGAAGGGGTGGTTTTCATTGCTTTGGGTGGTACGCTCGATTTCGGTTTATGCTGATTGGAGGAGTTCTGCATTGTGATGATGTTTTATGCTCAATTGATAGGGTGGTTCTACGTGTTTCTGGAGGGTTTCTTACAATATGCTCGGTTTACACTTGAGCTGTTGAGCCTGTCGTTCGCAAAAATGGTTATTCAGGAAAATGAAAGCAGTGTTTTGCAGCTAATTGGCGCATCTATTATAGGTACAAACTTGGCTGGGTTACACCAATTTAGGTTCATCAGCATTATGAACCAGCACTTGTATAAACCGGGCATGAGTATTTAGATTTAGTGAGCAGCAGGGCACGAGGAGAGAAGTTGTTGTGATGCACAGCAGAATCCAGATCTAGATCGACAAGCCATCTGCTATTTCATCACTGCAGTACAAAACGTCGCGCGTTGGCTTATTTATTATTACCGTACTCAGTCAGCAACGTTTACCAAACGTATCCTGTGGCTTTACCTTCTCCACTAACACTTTCATAAACTCCTGTACAGTGTGCAAAACAGTCAGGTTCATTGAGTCATTTTGATATGAATGTGAACTGCCATCCGCCTCATCGTTCACTGCCTCGTGAGAGTCTGAATGATTGAAAGGTAAACGAGTCACTGACAGCCGAGCACTCAGTCAGTAGCTCAGTGATCAGTCAACACGTTTATTCTGCCGTGATGGTACTCAATATTTGTTTTGAATGACTGAGCGTACATTTTCTATGGAAAAATGACTCAATTACATGCTGTGTGAGTGAAGGCAAGCGGTGTGCATCGCCTGCTCGTGAGTGACTGAATGTAAAGAGCCTGAATTTATAAAGAGACGACATCTTATCTATTTGACAGGTCTTCTGCTCGATTGGAATGACTTTTCCTATGACTTTGACCGACAATCGATTGTTCCAATTTTGACATGTTGCCTCTTTATAAATTTAGGCTCTTTAACTGAATGTTTTTGTTGGCTCTTTCATTGCCTCGTCCTTTACCGTTTGGTACAAACGGTCTGCACAGAGCAATGGATTGAATAGTGCAGTGCTTTCACACTCAGCCTTAGGCAGTCAATAATTTTAAGCTCTGCTTATGAGAGGTCTTAGAATTCTCCGCATCTCTCTTAAGTATGTGGTCAACTAATAATCCTTTCTCATCCCCAGCAGTAGCAAAGACGTTGCCAGGATAGTTCTAGATTGTTGGAGAGAGTAACACCTCCTTTTAAGGGGCCGAGATTAACTATTTTCATACAATGGTCTAGAACTTGTACCACCTGTTTCGAATCTTGTACCTGCAAGCTGTTTCGAATCTTGTTGAGAGGAGCGTGGATTTTCCATTCGCGGCCGGTAACTTAGATGAATCTACAGCTGTTCTTAATAACGCTTTGAAAACGTGTACTAATCAACTAGTTGAGCAAAAGTTTGTTTCTTTGAAGAACTCGAACAGCTGGTACAATTTGCATCTTTTGCGTCTTAAACGGAAAAGGGACAAATGGTACAAAAAGTTTTGTAGATCAAATAATGACAATCATTGGAATAGGTACACAATCGCGCGTAATAAGTATTCACAATCGATAAAGGAAACTCGTTGTGAATATGTTTAAAGGAAGATTGATCAGCATCAAAACAACAGCAAAGAGTTATGGAAAATTTTGAAATCTTTATTCTTTAATGGCACATTAGAACAGTCAGAACAAGTAATTGCAGCTAAGTTTAATGATTATTTTGTAAACAGTGTTTCATTGATTAATCAATCCATTGAATTGGTCGATGAACCTGACGAAATAAAACAGCCAGTTAATAGTAGTTGTAGATTTGAAGTTTTTCACCCAATTACATTAGATGAACTTAGAGTTATTTGTTTTTCATAAGGGAACTCGGCTGGAGTAGATAATGTTAATGCTAGAGTTATTCAAGATTGCTTTCATGTCATTGGCCACATCTTGCTGGACCTTATTAATGAATCATTACAAACTGGACATTTGCCACAAATTTGAAAGGAATCCTTAGTGGTCCCTATTCAAAAAGTTGCTGGAACGATTCAAGCCGAAGTGTTTCGTCCCATCAACATGTTGCACACATTAGAGAAAACTTTAGAACTTGTTGTTAAAGGCCAGCTGTTGGAGTATTTAAATAGCAATAGTTTGTTGATACCAGAATAATCGGGATATCGGGAAGGTCATTCTTGTGAAACCGCGTTGAATTTGGTATTAGCGAAGTGGAAAAATAACTTGGAGTGTAAAGATACGATTGTTGCTGTTTTTTTGGATCTTAAACGCGCTTTTGAAACAATTTCTAGGCACTTATTGTTAAGATCAATCAAGCGCTTTGGAATTACGAGTACTGCATATAAATGGTTTGAAAGCTATTTGTCTGACAGAACTCAACGGACTGTTTTTAATGATTCTGTTTCCAGTCCCGTGGGGAATAACCTTGGAGTGCCCCAGGGAAGTGTATTAGGGCCCCTGTTATTTATTATGTATATAAATGACTTGCGACGTGTTTTACGATTTTGCGACATTAATCTTTTTGCAGATGATACTGTGTTATTCATTGCAGCTAAGGATTTAGATGATGCCGTTTTACACTTGAATGAAGATTTGCGTTCTCTAAGTAGATGGTTGAAGTATAAGCAGTTAAAATTGAATACAAGTAAAACTAAATTTATGGTAATTTTGCGGAATCGAGTAAATGAGAACGTTTCTGTTGTAATTGATGATGAGACTATTGATCGCGTTCGGGAGATTAAATATCTTGGCGTGATTATTGATGACACACTTAAGTTCAACTCTCACATTGACAATGTCATAAAGAAAATTGCCAAGAAGTATGGAATCCTATGTCGACTGAAAAACGATTTAAATATTGCCAGTAAAATACAGGTATACAAATCAATTATCTCTCCCATCTTGACTTTTGCCCTTCCATTTTATTTCTGGCCAATGCAACACAAATATCGAGATTACAGCGCTTGCAGAATAAAATAATGCGTTTGGACTAAATTTAACATTTGATAAAAAAAAATGCAATTTTGAAGCTTATTTGGAAGAAACCTTGAGTTAGTAGTAAGTTTTCTGGCAAATGTTGGGGGTTCGTGAACATTCCTGACATTGCTGAAAATTATGATAGCATCAGATTGCGAGGTTGCTAGTGTAATAAAGGGTGATACGGTCAAAATTTGGTCAATATCAACTTGACGTATTTCTTTCAATTTTGCATTTAAAAAACCTGAACACCCCTCATTTTGAAGGTGTGTGTGTGTAGAATGTTGCTCCTATTTTGATTTTGGAATTCACTCTTCAGTTGTCAAAATGCCGACCAAGCAAGAAGAGCAGCGTATCAAAATTTTGCTCGCGCATCGCGAAAATCCGAGCTACTCGCACGCAAAGTTGGCAAAATCGCTAAAAGTTGCCAAATCAACCGTTACAAATGTAATTAAAGTGTTTGGGGAACGTTTGTCGACAGCCAGGAAGTCTGGATCGGGGGGAAATCGAAAACCGGAAGCCGCTGAGACGACAAAGAGAGTTGCCGCTAGTTTCAAGCGAAACCCTAACCTCTCTCTCCGAGATGCCGCAAATAAGCTGGGTGTATCGTCTACAACCGTGCATCGAGCCAAAAAACGAGCCGGACTATCGACTTACAAGAAGGTAGTGACTCCAAATCGCGATGATAAACAAAATACGACGGCCAAAGCGCGATCCCGGAGGCTGTACACGACGATGCTGACGAAGTTTGACTGCGTGGTAATGGACGACGAAACCTACGTCAAAGCCGACTACAAGCAGCTTCCGGGACAGGAGTTTTATACGGCAAAAGGAAGGGGAAAGGTAGCAGATGTTTTCAAGCACATGAAACTGTCAAAGTTCGCAAATAAATATCTGGTTTGGCAAGCCATCTGTACCTGTGGCTTGAAAAGCAGCATTTTCATAGCTTCCGGGACTGTCAACCAAGAAATTTACGTGAAAGAGTGTTTGAATAAACGTCTGCTGCCTTTCCTGAAGAAACACGGTTGTTCCGTACTGTTTTGGCCGGATTTGGCATCTTGCCATTACGGTAAAAAGGCCATGGAGTGGTACGCCGCCAACAACGTGCAGGTGGTTCCCAAGGACAAGAACCCTTCCAACACGCCAGAGCTCCGCCCAATTGAGAAATACTGGGCTATTGTCAAGCGGAAGACCAAAAAGAAGAAAGACCAAAAAAACTGCTAAGGGCGAGCTGCAGTTCAAGGCAAACTGGCTTTCTGCGGCGAAGAAGGTGGACAAGGTGGCTGTACAAAATCTGATGGCAGGGGTCAAGCGTAAGGCCCGGCAATTCGGATTTGGAAAAGCGGAAGCCTAACTGAATATTTTTCCTGAATTTTATACTAATTGAACTTGAAAAAGAAATTTAATTTGATTTTTTAAATAAACGATTTCACCGATTTACACGCGTTTTCCCTTGACCAAATTTTGACCGTATCACCCTTTAGGATGCTTTGAGGATTGTTCATTAACTCTTGATTGCTTGTAAAACTTATGAATATTTTAGGTGGACAAATAGGCGAACTAAGAGGTGGACGCCTGAGCTTTTCAACATTTATATCGCTGTGAAGCAACTGTAAACTCTAGAGGGAATTTATATCTGTAACTGAAACCAGTTCGATTTTGTTTGCCAACCTGGTTAAAATGTCATATTTAATTATCTTAAAGATAAATCGTCCAGCTCAAACCTTTGTAGGGGTAAAAGGTGGGACCATCATCATCATCATCATCACCTATGCATTTGTGCAACTAGCTTAACCTTCCTAGTGCATTAGG